GCAGCTCTGTTGATTTTCTTCACTAAAGTAATCGCACCAGCCGCCACCCCAGCTGTCGTAAATTGGTCTCCCATAATAACCAACATATTGGACTGCCCCACCACCGTAACATGGGTTCCCCGGCATTCCACTATGACTAGAGCCTTCACTATACCAAAACCCAATTACCGGAGAAGCAGGTGGCGGGTAACGCAAATAACGCAAATTCCTTTCATCGTCGTCGTCAGTATCTGGTTGAGGTCTTGGAGTATCACCGTCAGCTGTGGATCCTGTCGGTTCCCTCTTCGGACGTGGAGGCCAAGGCGTAGGCTCATCCTTAGGCTTAGGCTTAGGCGTAGTTGGAGGCTGAGACGGACGCTGAGGCTTGGGCTTAGGCGGAGGTGGCTTCTTTTCATCTGGCTTTTTGATCTCAATGCTCTTGATGCATCCACCACCCTTGCTGCATAACTTGTCCCTGATCTTCTCCGGCGAGCAGCACACCACCTTAATTGTCACCTTGTTTGCCTTCTCATCATACGTTTGATCTCGTATTTCTTTAATTAATTTGTTCACAACACAACGACTCAGTCCATTTGGCTAATCAATTCGTAAATTGATATACGTATATCGTATGTACAAAAATTATATTTAACAAATTATATATTAATTAATTAGGGGAGAACAATATTAATTGAAGAAAGGGAGACATCACCAGGAAATTTGCAGAGAAGTTTCTTGACCTTCTTGTAGCATTTTGAGCACTGTAGGTCCACTACATTGAGCACCATTGTTGTCCCCTTCTGTAAATTAAAGTATGTATATTATTCAACATCACCATGTATATATTTATATATATTTATATATATACATGCCATGCATCATTATTAGAGAAGGAATTTAATTTCCGAAAAAGGAGTAATAAATTGGAAGAAGAAGATTCAGGTTCCGATGCATATAGATTAACAGAAGAAAAGATATATCAGAACGTGCTCATGAGCAAAATAAGGGCGCCATACTCATGGAAAATGATTTTAGGATAATTTTTTTATATTATCTTTTAGTATAACTTGATGTGTCATTTAAATGATTAATTTTTTTTATTTATATAAGATTTATAATATTAAATGTATTCACTTATTTAATGACATGTAAAACTTGTATTAAAAGATGATATAAAAAGATTATCTCTATAGCATTGCCCATATGCCCATCCCATGCATCAATCATATGCCCATCCCATGCATCAACCAAAACACATAACTATATATCCTTTTCATCAAAAGAGTGGAATAACAGGCACATATTAAAGAAAGGAAAAAAATGGAGTTCTATATATATATATATATAGCACAAACCTTGTTCTCTCAGCCATGGTTGCTGTGGAGAGAATTAATTAAGCCAACTTGATTCTTAAAAAAGGAAAAAAGAAAAAAAACAAAATGGAGTTCTGTATATTGTTAAGTATTCTCACAATCTTCTGATCATCTTTGATCTCAATGCTCTTGATGCATCCACCACCCTTGCAGCATAACTTGTCCCTGATCTTCTCCGGCGAGCAGCACACCACCTTGATTGTCACCTTATTTGCCTTCTCATCATACGTCTGATCTCGTATTTCTTTAATTTGTTCACAACACAACGAGTCATCAGTCCATTGTACTTATCAATATGTAAATTATATCAACAAATTATTAATTCGGAGAGAACAATTGAAAGGGAATCACCAGAAAATTTACAGAGAAGTTTCTTGATCTTCTTGTAGCATTTTGAGCACTGTAGGTCCACATTCAGCACCATTGTCATCGCCTGTAAATCAAGATTACAAATTCAAACATTTGTGATGTCAAGTAACTAACTTTAAGATGTAAAAAAAAAAAATCACCATATGTATATATGTCATGCATGCATCATGATTAGAGAAGGACTTTAATTTCCAAGAAACAATTAATTAATTGGAAGAAGAAGATTCAGGTTTTGATACATATAGAATCAGAGGAAAGGATAAAATGATCATGAGCAAAATTAGAGCGCCATATGCCCAGCTCATGCATCAAACCGACGCACATAACTATCCTTTTCATCAAGAGAAAGAGGTATAACAGCCACAGGAAAGAAAGAAAGAAAGAAAGAAAGAAAAGGATGACTATATATTTAGCACAGAACCTTCTCCTTCTCGGCCATGGCTGATATGGAGGGACTTAATTAAGCCAGGTTGATTCTAAATAAGAAGCCGAGGGTGTCTAGTTTCACGCACTAAAGAGTCAATTGTCAATGTTAGTTTTTTTGACGGAGTGGTTCTTCGCGGCCCAATCCCTTAATTTCTCTCTCTTTTTTTGAGGAAAAGAAACTTGGGCCAATCCCTTTCTTCGCATGTGCTGTCTATAATTCCTTTCACGTTCCCATAAAGCTAATCAACATCCTCCCCTAACGACCCTTAAAATATATATATATATATATATATATAGTATTCCTCTTATCCAAAAGGAAAAAGTGTGAGTCTGCCTGTCCTCAAAATTTTTAAGCGGCAAAGGATACCAAAAGTTATCCCCCTCCTCCGACTGATCCCACCACCATGCTACCAGCAAATAACCAAACGCAACCTACAAGTGGCATTTGCTGTGGGAAATTGTTATGTGAACTACTCCTAATTGTTTTTTATTTAAAAAAAGGGTCAAATGAAAAAAATGTTAGAGACCAATAAAATTATGTAATTCAAGTAGATATAAATTGTATCTTAGATTTATATAGTGTAATGTGACTAGATATAGTGTTTGAAATTAAAAAATGGACTGCTTAATAAAAGTACTCAAAAGATTATTATAATAGACTCAACCCCCTCTCCAACTCAAAAAATCCTAACTCTATAAATAATGAAGTTAGAGAATAATATGCCTCATCGGTTGATGCATCATGACATCCTAACACTATTCCAACCACATAACATTGTGTTTTCCTTTCTCTCTTACTTATCTTTTGTTTTAGGTTAAAACTCATTTTGATCCTTCAACTTTAACAAAAAAACTCCTTTTTAATCTCTCTACTTAAGAAAACTCCTTTTTTAGTCTCTAAAATTTATTATTTTGCCCCTTTTTAGTTCTTCCATTATATTTTTTCACACGTGGCACATGATGAAAATTTCAAAGTAAAGAGACTAAAAAGGAACTAAGAAAACTCCTTTTTGGTCCAATTAAATGCTAATTTTAGTCTCTCAACTTTACAACTTTGCATAATTTTTGTTCCTCAACTTTTTATGCACTTTTTTTGTCCCTTAATTATGAAAAATGCAATTTTTTAGTCATTCCATCAATTAATATGTTAATTCTATTTAAACATGCATATTTTTAGTGCTTCAACTTATAATAAATGCATATTTGGATAGATTTAACTAATTAACTGATAAAATAACTAAAAAATACATTTTTCATAATTAAGAGATAAAAAAATACATAAAAATTTAAGGAACGAAAATTATGTGAAATAGTAAAGTTGAGGAACCAAAAGTGTCATTTATCCTTAAAAATGCCCCTTTCTAAAACAACCATCCGATGTTTGATTAGAACAAATAAGAATCCAGACTACTATACAGCATATCATCGAAATGAAACGGATAATAAGAAATAGGAACCAAGTGATTTTACCAACTATTGGCTTGCTTGTGGGATTCCCATCAATATCAAAGGGCAATTAATATCACTATCAATTCTTCACAGCCAGCGTCTATATATTTCAAGCAGAAATTATTGACATAAATAATGGACAACATAGTTGCATTCTGACTCTACACATTTGCAGAACGCATCTCTGCAACTCTTGCCGCACTTACTGCATTTGTGATAGCGAAGATTGTCCTTCATGAAAATGAGAGGGTGTTCATGAGTTGCAAGCTTGGCAGGTGACCCCAACTTCACAAATGGGTACTTCCCGAGAGCACAACGGGGATGGCAAGAATAATCACAAGTTGCACAGTAATAAAACCACTTTGTCGGATCTCTTGGTTGTTCACATATGTCACAAAAACATTGATACGAATCATGAGCATCATCACAGTAAGTGAGTGCAAGAGGATGTTCATCATGCTTGTACCCATTATGCTTGTACCAGGCCGTTTCTGGCAGCGCAATACATTGGCGACACAAAACAAATTCACAATTATCTTCACACTTGAATTTTCCAAATTTGTCATTACAAATACTACACTCCCATGTAAGCTTGTGGTCAAAGAAAAGATGGTGCTCGTGTCCACGAGCAATGAAGTAGTCTGGAATTTCAAAGCATCTAATGCAGATTCTTGGAAATCTGTCATTAACATTGACATAGCAAAACCCGCTGCAAAAAAACCCACAAAAAGAACACCAAAAAATGTGTTCAAAGTTGAGAGTTCGGGTTTTCTCAGCGCTCCAGTGTTTCTTCTTTCTAGGTAATTCGGCACAACATTTATCAAGGAAGTAATTACATTCAGCACAATGGTAAAATGCAGTTGAGATTGATCTCCTGCAACCGTCACAATAATATTCATAATTTTTCATCACGTCACTTAGTAACAACTTGTGGTCATGGCTGAAGTGTTTAATTTCTCCTTCTCCCAAGGTTTCACTGGACTTCTGAGTTGCTTCTTCCACCTCAAAAATCTCATTGTCCCAAAGATTTTTGCCTCTTGCACAATTCACATGAACAAAGTAATCATCACAATCTAAGCAACGGTAGCTCCCATATTCCATATTCACTTCTTTCCGACAAATTCTGCAGATCCTGATCTTTCTTTCTTCATTTTCTTTAAGGAAATAAATATGGAAAATTGAGTGCTCATGCTTTCTTAACTTGATGGTATGTGGAAGGGAAATGCAATCCTTATGCACTACAACATTACATATGGTGCATATGTAAGGCATGCAATACTCCCCACAAATGCCACATGCATCACAGATGAATGACATTGGCCTTGGTAGGAGAGTGAATAGATGTTCATGAGTCTTTTCTTCATCTTCAAATAAATGAAAGAAAGTATATTTGACCCGAATGCTGAACTCGCAAGAAGAACAACAATAAACAAATCCCTTCGGGAGTTTGTTGCATAAATGGCAAGAACAGTCCTTTTCATGTGGATAATTGGCTAGAAGAGCAAGAGGGTGTTTGGAGTGGCTGGGAGGTGGAGGGCTGTGCCGAAGAGTAAGAGAGTGTTTACGGTGGCTAGGGTGATTTATCACAGAAGGTAGCTCAGTGCATTTTTTATGGAGGAAAAATGGACAATCAAAACAACAATAAAAAGGACATGATATCGGATCTTCACATGCAAAACAAGACTGATCTGCACCTTCAATGTAATCCTTTTCAATGAACAAAAGTGAATGTTCATGGCTAAAATGCTGAAGCTTAGGGAGATCTCCACTAATCAATTTTGATAGCATAGCACATTGTATGTCAAGGTCAAATGCACAAGTAGAACAACGATAAACAAATCCCTCACCTTTTTCCTTTCCACAGGAATTGCATTTAAACGCAACACGAGGAAATTCATATTGCGGCTTATCATAAAGAACGAGAGGATGTTGGGGATGAAAAGGATGATCCAACTCTCCGGGTAGCTCAGCACACGTCTTGTGAAGGAAAAATTCGCAGTCGGCACATCTGTAACTTGAATCCTGTATGAGTTCCCCGCATCCTGAGCAATAATAAGCTTCCCTGACTTGGTCGCTCTTATCTTCCACGAGGAGCAGGGGATGCGGATGGCTAAAATGATTAAGCTCCATGGACTTTTCTTTCGGCAAATTAGGGATCTTTCAGTTCGGTTTGGGTGGTGACTGAGGAGAAAGTAAAGGGGAGTCAACTTGTCTTGTGCTGACTAAAATAATTGGAGTTAATTATCTATTATACTTTTTAATAATTAAGTTATATTTTTTAATAATGGATGGGCAAGGCTGATAAAGCGAACAAAATGGATGGGCTTAACAGCAAATCAATCCCATTTTGCATTAACAATATTTACTAAGCTATCCTAGCCCAGTCCATGTTGGGCTAGCTGCCAAATTGCCAGTCTACTAGCGAAAAGCTTCATTTTGATCTACAACCGATTGGGGGGAAGAAAGCAAATGACTCAAATGAGTTCCCAATATTTTTCAAAGGAGGATGTACCACAAAAAAAAAAAAAAAAAAAAAAAAAAATTTCTGAGGAGGAATAGTTTCTTGACTTCGAGGAAATCCACAAAGTTATGCTTTTCATGGAAAACCCATCCAAGAAAGAAAAGAAAACAGAAAAAAAAAAGACAAAAAAAAAAAGAGTCATTTCTTCTTAGATGAAATAAATTGGAAAGGAAAACTCTTTTACCAATTTTTTACTCCCCTTTCCGCGTCCATTCATTATATATTAGAAAGGAAAAGGGAGCTAGAGAGAATGCCTTTCCTGTCCTAAGCACTAAGTACAAATCTTAATTTCAGACCACATACTATGAGGGACAAAGCAACCGACCAATACCAGAAGTGGACAAAGGATATGTAACAAAATGAAACCAAATTCCAAGAAATATAAGCACCATATATAATCTCCTCTTCCTAAAAAGGGAGTTATCTTTCTCTCTCAACTTTGATGGCCATGGATATATATCCCACAAAAGTTCAACCAATACATGCAACAGATTTCCATAAAAATCGTAGCTTCAGTGATTATTGGGTTGTTAGGGTATGCAGCCCCTCGTATGGTGGATGTTTTGGCCTACTTTTGGCCTCTTTTGGCTTCGACTGTGGTGGAGATGGTTGGCTTTGGTGGTCTCTCACAGCTTGCAACTGAAGGCCACGGTGAAAAGGTCGGTGAGGGACTTCTGATGGACTATGTAGCAGCTCCCCGGACAGAGCATATCACAGAGCTTCAGTAGCCAAGATTGGGTTGTATTTTTCTTACTCATCTTTCAAAAACATGAAAGTTAATCCCGAATATATAATAATAGTAATTGCAGGGACTCTGTTCTTTCCATATATTCCCACTTTTTCATGTTGCACGTACCAATTACAGGAGATATGATCCGCAATTTAATTTCTACTATGTTATTCTGTTAATATTGGATCCCAGATTTATATAAAAGACAGACGGCCATTAATTCTTTGGCCATGGTTATGGTTATTATTATTTTTGTTTGACTACTAAAGTCTAAAGTCATTAAAATTTTACTTTATTTTAATTATTAAAAATAATTAATAATTAATAAAATAATTAATATTTATTATTTAATATATTAAAATTAATTTATAAATATATATTTTTAAACGTTATAATTAATTATTTAAGAAAATAAATAAATCCTTCATCAATTAGAGAGAATGCTTATGTTTGAAGAATTTCTTGCGGATGAGATTGATTGAAGAATGTTTCCTGTAAGAGGATAAAAAAAAAAAAAAAAGGGAAAAGAAGAAGAAGCAAAGACTTGCTAACCTCCCTCATCATTGGCCATCATGATATTAAGCCAATTAAGTACAAAACAGATCAATAATAGCAACATACAAACCCAATTATGATCCTGAAAGTGCAGCCTAGCTATAAAACATGGTAATTAAGCATGCAAATGAAGAGAAAAACCAAAAGTTTTTGCTTTACCTCAGAGGAAGCCAATATTCCTCTGAATATTAGAATGTCAAAACAAAAGGGCAGATGTAGCAAAACCCCATTGAAGATTTGAAAGACACGACCATGGAAACATTCTATTCTTATAAAGAACAATGTTGAAGCAGAATAAGGAAGATGAAAGCTCAAAGGATCATTGAGAACAATGTTGGGTTTTTAAGACCCACATTATGCATTAAAAATGCCCATTTCAGCTACCTAAAAGGATCAAAATTAATTAATAGATGTTAGATTACTTTCGTTTATTGAACTTTATTAGTTTCTTTAGTGGCAAATAAGCCCTCAACTAAAGAAGTTTATAGGCCTTTTTATTTCCTACCAAAAAAAATTTCTTGGGGCTCAATTCTCAACAAGCTGAGAGTAGGCTCATTCGGAGTTTTTTCCTTCTGCTTTTGAGTTTATAATTGGACATCTCACCAAGCCCATGAAGAATTTTGCCCAGCCTTATAGGCCCAATGCAATAAGATTTTCTGAAGCGAGGGAAACGGAAACTTATAGGCCCAATGCAATAAGAAGTGGTGGAAGAAACAAGGGTTTAAGCAGTTATATTTTTCACTGGTAAGTTTATTCTTACTGCATGGCATAATTGCCATGAAATAAACTAAGGGGTTGGTTAAATGAAAACTATTTATACAATTAAAACGCTAACTAGAGATAGATTTTTCTTTATCTATTCTTTTGAAAAATTAGATTTGGAATTGATACACTACAAGATGTATTTTAAAATCGATTTTTACAATATTCACATATAAGTGCATATTGATTCATATATTTTATTAATGGAAAAAGACCATTCATAATTAACACTCTATATGTAATAAAATAAAATTATAGAGTTGTCTATGAATTTTTTTTTTTTTAACAATTTGCGTCTGGATTAAAATCTAAGCATCATTTCGAATGAAATCATAATCTTTGTGGGTCTTCCTAGATACAGTATAATTTCACAGAGGTTTTTCAGATAACTAAAATTGTTCACCTCTAGAAATTTCAAATATTCTATTTAATTTTAGATAATATCTGTAGACGGCTTGTTTGCTATTTCTTTTTAATCAGCAAAGAGATATTGAATATCAAACTAATTCTCATCCTTATGACTTATCCTGTTTCTATACTGGTCCAAGAATGTTTTTTTCCTTTTTTTTTTTTTTTTTTCCTTTTTAATGATATCGGCCCTGGAATTGGTTATGTCATAACGGCCATGGAAATTGAATCCCAGTAAGGGCAAACAACAGAAGTTTCCATACAATTACCTTCTAGAAATAATTAATCTAAATTACCTTTCACAAAATTAAACTTGCATACATGTTACCATCTTACATTAATTTCTGTTGATAGAAACAGGGAAAAAGCTTAGGCATTAATACACCACTGTCATACAATTACATTCCTGCAGGCTGCAACATCACCACTGTTATCACTAATTATACTTGATTATCTCACAATGAAAAAAGATATATATGTTGATACATGCCATAATTATATATATATATATATATATTGATGAACAAATGTGGTGCAGCTAGCATCGATATTAATATTTCAGAATGTTCAATATTGATTAGGCCAGAGGAATGCTCCCATGGCAAAAGCTCTCTTCTCATCAAGGGTGCCACTGTAGGTGAGGCCATATTGTGTGAGGAGCAGGTCCAGCTTCCACTCCTCCATCTTCTCATAGTCTGCCTTGGTGTAACGAGGATAGTGAAGAGGCATCTGGAAACTAACAGTTGACGGATGCATAATATTCTTGGAGTTGGACATCCCATGCAACCCTCCATCTTCAATCTTCCCATTGTTGGGGCTTCCCAAAACATGACATGCTGACTGAAGAAGCCATCTTAGAGACAGAGCCATGTTTGATTGGATGGATGGATGCTTCTTCTCCCTCCTACCTGGCTAATTCGGAAGAGAGGAGAGAGCAGTTAATGCTGACTGAAGCAAGCAATATTGCTGCTAAATGCAATGTGTATATATACATAGACAGGGAGAAGGAACCATAAATATAATATATGAAAATACTATAGTTACAATGTTATATATGATTATAAACTTATAATCATATATAACGTGACATTAAATGAATATGACGTGATTTTAAACGAGTGAACACATACAATATCATAAATAGATTTTTAAATAAAAAGAATCAATTATATAAAAATACATCCTATTATAACTTTATAATATTATATAATATTATAAATATTGCATTTTCGTATAAAATACTCACAGAATCAAGTCATGAGGTGCGCATAACATGCAGCAAGCAATCCCACAGGATAAGTATTAATTGATTGAGGTTTGAAAGTTAATGCTAAAATTTGTCTTTGTCCCATCCCATTGATTGTGAATTGGAAATGGAGTGCTTAGGCAGTAGTAGTGGTTAGCAGTCTTATTCCGTCCTCCCTATTTTCAGCACTGATTATACCCCTAATTGCGTGTCTTAGGTAGCGTAATATGCATAAATTTCAATATTTATATTTAACTGGACCCATTTATTGATGTTAAATTCAACAATTCTATATGGCTTTCTGCCTAAGTTTTGGTTAATTAAGTTTCAATTAATATGCATACAAGTAGCTCATTTTTTTTTTTATGTTGGTTGTATAATAGGAGGCAACTCTCTCTAATTTCTTATCACACCTTCATCCACACACTATACGATTTGAACTCAAAATCTCTTACTTTTAGTAAAAAGAAATTACTATTGAATTATTTAGATTATTGGTACTAGTACCTCATTTTTTATTTACAAATAAACATGGTTATAATTTTTTTAAAAATAAAAGTAAAAAATTTTGATTTTAATTGTATGATATGCAAATATGATAGGATAAAATAAAGGACATGAGAAAGTTACCTCCTATCATATAACTTAAGATTAAAAAAATTATTTTCATTTATAAGATGTCTTGAACAAAATATATAGTTATGCGTTATTAAAATTATCAATGAAGTTCGTCTTTGATCAAATGCTTTAGAAACCAGATATATATATATATATGTCATGATACGTGAATTAAAATTATCTAGATAAGAGATTAATTACAATTAAATGGTCTAGTGATTACAATATCACTTTTTAATTAAAGCAATAGATTTTAAGTTCAACTCATATTGCTTGGTATTTTGGTTTATTTTATTTTATTTTAAATTGTATAATAAAAAATAACCCTCAACTATTTCTTAACTCATTTCACTTGAATGTTATATTACGTAATTTCAAAACATTTTATTTTTATAAGTAAAGTATTACTATTAACTTATTTACATTATTGGCATTTGAGTTAAGAACTTAAAATTGATAGAAAAGGTTTTACCTTGAGCAATTTAAAGAAAAAAAAAATTATTATTACCATGTTTAAAACCGCCAAGCTCTAGCTGCTCCAATTATCATCAATCGAGGCTTTTTAATTATTCCCTAAGAAATAGAAGACAACTAGCTTAGCTTGAGATGGAAGAAAACTTACTACAGTTTCTCTGGTCCAATAATTGATGTAATTAATTAATGTGTAATCTAAATGAGTTGAAAGTAAGATTTAAATAAATCAAGGCTACCTCACAAAACTTGCCAAAAAAAGAAAAAGTCAGTCGTCGTAGACAAGTACTATAGTAGAAAAATAAAAAAAAATGATATTCTATAATTTAGATTATATTAATTAATTATTAAATAAAAAAAATTCTCTCTATTATCAAAGGGTCCCTTCCTTAATCCTAATCCAATGATTGAGAGGCCCTTCCGTCCAATATGCCAATGGCATTTCAATACCCTGTCTTCGTTTATTCTGTTATTTGCTACTATTGATTGCGTTGGTGATTTGGAAATGAAATCTTTTGTTTTTTTTTTTGAACATAAATAATTTGTTACAACTAAAGGGAGAGGAACAGAAAATGAGAAAGAGGTTAATAGGATTTGAATACAGTTCACTATATAAATTTTATATGAGATGTAGCGTGGATTTTAAAATCTTGTTTAAATGTTGATGCTTATGTTATGATTAAGAAACCTGTTCTTTAGCCTTGGTCCTGAATTTGAATGCTACCTCTCTTTTCTTTTCTTTTCTTTTTTTCTGGTACATTTGATAATGGAGTCTTTTTTTTCATTTTCTCACTAGAGAGGAAAGATGGAATTTTCACCTTCCCAATTGAACTAGAACTTCGTGGACTCAACTTTTTCTGAGCCAAGCTCGAGATATGCTTGACTCAAGTTATTGCTCGAGTTCAAAACCTTTAACCGACCAAGCCCAAGCTTAACCAGGTTTGGGCTTAAGTGCCTAACGATTTAGAGTCGAAAATGGATGAAATGTGTTGGGCTATAGCCTATAATGGAGTTAAATTTGAATTTAAGCTAAGAAAGGGCCAAGCCCAAATGAAGAATGCATAATATGACCCAAACATCCTAATGAGAAAGAATCAGCCCTGGTGAAACTGAGTTTGAAGCCCTCCATTTTTCTAGGGACCAGAGGTGTGCACATCTCCGATATTATTGAACTATCCGGATTTTTAATCTAAATTTTTTAATTTTGGTTTGGTTATTTTATATGTTTGAATAAATTTGAATAAAATTAAAATAACCGAAATTAATTTTAATTCATAGATAGTTATTGACTCATATTTGAAATTACCGATATGACCTATCAAACTATCTAAAATTATTTGAAATTTTTTAGTATAAATTTATTTTATTTTTTATTTTAGTTTTTATGCTATATAAAATTTTTTTCTGACAAAATTCTTTTTTTAGTCAAATATATAAGTAGGAATATGAAGAAAAAGACTAAAAATAATCAAAAAATATATATAAAAAAAAGCTTGTAATGACAAAAAGTAAAGAATAATGGTATATTTCAGTTATTTTAGTTAATTAATTAAATTATTCAAATAATTTTAAATAATCAAAATTATAACCAAATTAAAAATTTAGTTCAAATCAGGTATAAAAAATTTATCCAAAATTATTTTGAATAACTAAAAATTCAGTTTAAATTGAACAATCTAAACCAAATGGCCAGCCCTAACAGGGACCATGCCTACTTTCAGTGCTCTGGTGCCGCTATTAATTAATATAATAAAATATCATCATTTTAAATTTACAAATTCATGATTTATGATATTATAATTATATTATTTTTTTAATAAAATTTGCATATATTATTAAATAAATATATATAAAATATTAAAAATAAGTTTTTGAATTAAAAGAGCTATTAATTAATATAATAAAATATCATCATTTTAAATTTACAATTAGATTGTAATTATATCATATTTTCTCACGTTGCTCTGGCATTTCATGAATCGTGTCTGTCGTCCTAGCTTACCGTACGAGAAAACTCTTTTAAGCTTAGTAAGGGGAGCAGGTTTTTGCAGATTTCTTAACGATTTTTTTTTTTTTTCATTTTTATTATCTTAAAATTATATAAAATATTAATAAATAAATAGTATTAGATATACAAAAAAAATATTTTATAGAGTAGATTGTATATTAAAAGTACAATTTACATTATAAATCTATTAAAATGTTTTTAATGAAATTATTTTATATTATTTTATTAAAAATATTTTAATAAATTTATAAGTTAAATTACACTTTTAATGTATATCCGAAAATGTAATACATTAATCCTTTAAATATTTTAGGTGAAAAAATTATTTATCAATTGTATATGTAAAAAAATTAAATAAAAAAATAAAAAAAATGTCATTTTAATTAATTTTCATTAGAAAGAGCCGAAACGTTTTTCCTTTTTTAAACAAAAATTTGACTATTTTAATTTAATTTAATTTATTTTATTAAAACAATATAATTTTAAATATTTTTGTCCAAATTTTTTTACAAATCTAATTAATAAACATTTATATAAAACCTTAATCTCATATTAAATATATTTTATATATTTAAAATTTTTTTAATATATCTAACCATAAATTATATAAAAAAGAAAACAAACAACTCTATTCTCACAGTCCTCCCACAATTCTAAATTAAAATATAAAATATAATGCATTGCCTTGTGCATATTTTTAAAATATATAAAAAAAATCACTTGCTCTTTGTAGTACAATGACTAGTTTCAAAACCTGATGCATGACAAAAAGTTCAAAAAAAAAAAATATATATATATATATATATAAAATGCTACCGCGAGCAGAACACTCACATGGAAAATCCCTATTTTGCCCTCCCCGCTTTCTTCCCGAGCAGGAGCAGCTGTTCTGTTAATGTCCTCCTTAGCCCCCCACCTGCCATCTGCAATTCCCCAACAAGTTCAATCAGTGAGACCCCAAGAAACATACCACACAAGCAAAGTTTGCTCTTTTCTTCTCTTCTCCACTGGTTTTCCTGGCATTCTTTGGATTTTGACTCACTCGGTTGTTAATTTGTTATATATGTTTTCTTCTGGGAGTCTTTTAGTTTTGCTTTTGCATGGTTCCGGGTTATTGATTATATCTTGTTCATTTCCCAGTTTACCTGTTAATGCTATCTGCGTCTTTCATTCAGGGCCTCAACTTTCTGGGGTTTTCAAGCTGATAAGTTAGAAAGGTGTCCCCAGGTCGTTTTCTCTTTTTTCTAATAATCCTCCTGGGTTTTGGTTCTCAAAACCCTCGACTTTTGTTTTTCCCTTCTTCTATACGGTTTTCTTCGACTCTCTTCGTTCCTGATAAAAGCACAGAATCCTTCAAAATCATAAATTTTGGATCTTTTCCCTTTTCTTTTTTTTTTTTTTAATGAATCAATCATGTTCACCTTCACCCCAAGTGGGTGTTTCCTAATCTCTGTGTTCCTTGGAATTTCTCTCAGGACCCTGGCACCATCTTGGGGTTTTTGAACTGGGTAGAATTTGTTTGGCTGTCTAGCCAACCGGTCTGTGGGGCAGATTTACATATTAAAGGGTTTATTTTAGTTTGTATTCATGTGAAAGAACAGTGCTTTTGAACTCTTCAAGGCATTGTTTATACGTCAGAATGTCTGCAAATAATTCTAGTTTTGTGGCTTGGGAGGAGCACATTTTATGTCCAGAACGTGGTAGCTGTGTGGTCCACTTCTACTTGAAGGATGCCACAGGGAATTTAGTGCTTGCAGTCGTTGGTACCGAGTGGAGCATAAGGCACATGATGTATGTTGTTACAAGCGAGTTCTCGCAGACCTATGGCTCCCAGATCATGAAGTGGAGAGCTAGACGGGAAGTTGTGGAATGGTTGCAGTCATTCATCTCAAGACCATCTTTAGGTACTCCAATTCTTTACTGCATTCACATGAGAAATATTTGATAATTCTTATTCATTTTGAGTTATAAATTTTTAGGTTTTGGGTGGGATGGAATGGCACTTCTTTGGCTGCATATTTGAATTTGAATTTTCCTTGAAAGCTTATAGTTCCAATAGTTTTTCAAACTAAATTCAGTATGAAGAGAACCAGCGGCCAAGCTACTACGTGTAGGCGTAAATTATATGCTAAATTGTCCTTTTTGTGCAAATGTATGCAAAATCATATGAGAGTGAGGAAATATTGGATTAAGTGATTTGTTTTCCAGTCAGTCCCTGGAATTATAAGTTTCTATGGTTCAGCATTAGCAGTTAGCACTATGGGATGATGTGGTTGATAAGATGTAGGAATATGAACATACGCAAGCTTGAGCTAGGAACTAGAGAATAGGATGAGAATGTCTATGAGAATAAGATGAGTTTAATAACATCAAAAGAATATAAATCCTGCAGCAAGAGAATGATAAATAGCTTGAGCTAGGAACTAGAGCTACTTAATTTATGTTTCTTTGACATATGATGACTTTAAAAGAAAAGGAGCATATATAACAAATACCATTTACATGGTTATTAAGCCAAAATAAATAGAAATTAGAGATTAGAGATGAAAACAGGAAGAGATTAGAGATCAATCAATAAATTAAAAACAAATAGAGAAGTACACTTTATTTTCAAAAAGTTTCATTGACATTAGCATTGGGGTTGGCCGATTCAATTCTAGACACAATGTCGAAAAGGCTAGAAAATGATACACTTGCCATCTTCTATGAGTCTACAGTTTGTAGAAGAATAATTTAGAGTCCCAAATTTGAAATTAAAGAATATCTTTGGTGATTATCCGTTTTAGTCTTGACCAATGTAACAGAGAATAAACCTCTTATCTGGCACATACCCTTCATCTAACATGAGCCTGAACAACTCCTGCAAAAGTCCATAAATTGCCTCAGCTTGTGGATGGTTTCTGTCTTCAACAACAAAGCTATAAACATTCTTTTCAAGCTCGATCGAACTTACACCTATTTCCTTCACCAGACCCATTTCCTTCATTCTCTTGATAGTCCTAGCTCTGTCTTTCCAAGTAACAACATTTCTTTCAAACATCTCATCAAAAACCTGCCTCCCAGAACTCAAACAGCCACATTTAAAGTATGATGTTATCAAAGTATTTCCCACACTTATTTCTCTTTCGTATCCATTCAGAACCTCTAAGCAATGTATCATCTTGTTGATGTAATAGAGATGACAATCTAGACATGCTTTCAGGGTTTAACCAAAGCAATTTGTTTACAGAAAGATTAAGAGATTCTAGCGAACTCATGTCACCAATATTTGGAGGGATCCCTTTAGTGAGAAGGTTGTGTGACAAATTCAGTGATTGCAACCCTTGAAGGTCCTAAGAAACTCAACTTGTTGCTTTCACTAGAGATTTAGAGGGACTAATTATAATTACTTCTTCCAAAATCAAGTTTGTTGTGAACATGACATTATATACCTTGTAACAATCCATATTGGTCCTGACATCAGATAAGATGGTGGGGCCAATGAAGTTCCCTTGTTCATATCCTTCAACCTATTGATTCACA